ATAACATTTTATAAAGATAATAATTAAGTATTCTGTTAGAATTCAATGATTATCCTAATTATATTTTAGATTTTTAATATTTAAAATAAGATGTTTATCTTKTATTTGATTATGTTTATCTGCAATTAATTACACGAATTCAGATATGGAGCTTTAATACTTACACACAATCTACTTGTAATCTTGAGTTTTAAGTAATATGCATTAATAAATAGTACTTTACGCATAAAAARTARTTTTTAARAWTTTTTGTCAAATGCTTTATAATATAGTATAGATTATTTTTTTTTATAATTTAATTTAAGTTTAATAATGAAATAATTTATTTTTGGTTTAATAACATAACATTTTATAAATATAATAATTAAGTATTCTGTTAGAATTCAATGATTATCCTCATTATATTTTAGATTTTTTATGTTTAAAATTAGATGTTTAACATGTATTTGATTGTATTTATCTACAGTTAGTTACACGAATTCAGATATGGGATGAAATCGGATAGGGATGAAATCTAGTTTAAGAGTTTTTAAGAGTTTTAAGAGTTTTTAAGAGTTTAAGAGTTTTAAAGAGTTTTAGTCAAATGCTTTATAATATAGTATAGATTAGAAAGAACTAGAAGCGTACTCGCACAATGCAGTGAGATACATCATGATTTTAATATTTCATTTTATTCCTTATCTCAGTCGATGTTAGAATATGACTTTATGTGATTTTGAGAAAGCGATGATGTTTTTATTTTTGAATAAAATATATGTTTGAAGATATCATAAAAATTTGACAAAAATATATCGATATTAATATCAAATTAACTATTTGAAATTCCTTATTTTTTTGTGTAATGTTTTAATTCAATTTTTTTTATAATTTAATTTATGTACAATAACGAAGTAATTTATATTTGGTTTAATAATATAATTTTTTTTATAAAGATAATAATTATTTATTCTGTTGGAACTCGATAATTATTCTAATTATATTTTAGATTTTTTACATTTTAAAATGAGATGTTCATTCTCTATTTGATTATGTTTATCCACAATTATTTA